TACTTTAAAAAATAATATAGATTATGAGTAGAATCAAAATATTATGTTGTGATTTTCTTTTAATATTTGGTTTAATAGTATTTTGAAGAGATATATTATGGACAATAACATATTAATCGAATTGACTATTTATAATTAAAGTTTAATATTATTTTAATTCAGTTTTATCATAAAAATAATAAATATAATTCGTTAAAATCGCAAGAATAAATTTGTTAATCGTAAGATTTGAATCGGTTAAGATCAAGTTCTTTCAATTCGTAAGCTTTATTCAAAGATTTGAATAGATTATGCTCAACTAATGACAATGATGTACTAATCAAATTAACTATTTATAATTTAAATAATATCTTTTTAATTGAATTTTATTATAAAAATAATAAAATTTAATTTGTAAAAGTCATAAGAATCAAATCGTAGATTGTAAATTTAATCTTTTTTTTTACATTTACATTTTATTAAAATATTTAAATCGATTAAGCTCAAGTCCTTTTAATTTTTTATTATATTACATTTTTCAATAAGTTAATTAACATTATTTAATAATAATGAATATACTAATTAATAATCTATTTATTCAAATATTAGTATTGCTAGCTATTTAATAATAAACAATTGCAATGTCAGAGACTCAGAGTGGTTAATTTTGCTATGCTTTATCTACCAACCCACGTTCGATCCTCAGCCATAGCATTTTCCGAATTTTAAATAAATAATCCGGCCTGACCATGACCGAACCCGTCCCATCCCGGACCGGATCTGTTTCCTCGTGGGTTGGTTTCTGGGCCCCAAAACTCGGGCCAACCATTAAATTTGGATTCAACATCCCACTAAGGGTACAAATGGTATTAAATATAAATTAAAAATAAAAAAATAATAAAAAAAATGATTCTGGCTGGCCAGATTCTGGTCATTTAGCATTGTCCTATATATATATATATATATATATATATATATATATATATATATATATATATATAAATGTCACTTTACACTTTAAATTTTCAAGAAAAAAAATAGTTGTTTTTTTAATCAATTTTTTCTTATATCATTAATTGTCCAGGCTTATTATGTACCACTAACTTATTTCTCTTCAAGATTTGAAAGGGGCGATTAAGGAATTCCCCATTAAAAATGAGTTTATTTATTAGATTTCTTGACCAATGTGTATTTACCTTAAACGACACTTATTTTGAAATGTAGGGAGTAATGCACTGTAAATTGAGGTTAGACAATTTTTAGTGTACAACTAAAAATGTGATTGAAAATATCTGTAAGGATAATTTTTGGAATAAAATAGTGTTTATTTATGTTTTTTTGGCAACTTATTATGTTACAATAAAATCAAGTATGGACACGAGAATTGAGAATTTTCAATGGTCAATTTCGAAAAATAATTCAAATACTTTTGAAACAACAAATACCACATATTGACATATAAAAGAAAAAGATAATGGGAAACTTTAAAACACTAATTTTTATTCTTTTCTTGTGGCCAATGGAAAGAATAATTTTAACAAAAATAAATAAATTAATTAATTATTAGGAAAATTAGCAAAAAGGGTAAAAAAAGGGAATCTATCTACACAACCAAACATATGGAAAAGTTGGAAGAAAATAGAAAAGAAAATAGAGTGGCAGCCACCCCCACTATGGGAACCACAAAAAGATAATAATGGCAATAAATAAATATTAAATAATTATTAAATGAATAAGGAGTAATATTAAAATATTAGCAAAATTAGGGTTCTTTGTGCATATATTCTTTACTTGAAGGACTCAATTTTCTCGTTGTTGTTTTTATTACGTCAATCATTGTCCTTATCATGATAAGCATCCCATACTAATCAATAATCACGTGCACTTTTCAAACATTTCAATCTCGGATTAGATAAATTAATTAAACTCAACTAATCTTGGATTAGTTAGTAAATTAGTATTTCATTCGTTTCTAATTAATTATCATTATTCAGTTTCTCATAATGAAATACGTTAGTGTAATTTTTATCAGTGCACTTATATGATTTGCTGCGGGTCATTCGCTAATTTTTCTTTACGAAAATCGTTATTCTATCATTTTTCCTATGGCGTAAGGGTCTTTGAGGAAACCCCCTCATTACTTTTTTTAATGGAGAAGATGTCCAAATATTTCAGTCTATTTGAGAAAAGCCCACACCCATTTTGAGCTATTATACTTTTCAGCTTTGCCCCTGTCCGCCACATCATCACTGGGTCACGCGCTCAACAATTATTATTTTTTTTTTCTTTCCATTTTTCCGTTTTTTTACCCTTCTTTTTTGTACCAATTTTCTTAATCGACTATGGAGCATAGTCGATTAGCCTTAATCGACTATGTTTTATAGTCGATTAAGGAAATTATTTTTTTTTTTTGTTTTTTTTTTTCTATATCAGTATATTAATCAATTATGATGAAGCATAGTCGATCAAGAGTCTGCTACTAAAAATAACAAATCAAAACTGCAAAAAAAATGCAAAATCAACTTATTTTACAAAAAAACAAAAATATAAGAACATTATAATTGATTTATACAATTGGAATCAATAAAAAAAAACCAAAAAAAAAGAAGATTGGAGTCGATCAACATTAATCGATACTAGAGCATAGTCGATTAAGAATTTGCTACTAAAATAACAAATCACACCTGCGAAAAAATGCAAAATCACCTCTATATTACAAAAACAAAAAATATGCAACCATTATAATTGATTTATACAATTGTAATTAATAAACGAAAAATCTAAAAAAAAAAAAAAAAAAAAAAGATTGGAGTCGATCAACATTAATCGATACTAGAGCATAGTCGATTAAGAATTTGCTACTAAAATAACAAATCACACCTGCGAAAAAATGCAAAATCACCTCTATATTACAAAAAAAAAAAATATCCAACCATTATACTTGGTTTATACAATTGTAATTAATAAACGAAAAATCTAAAAAAACTAACAAAAAAATTGGAGTCAATCAACCTTAATCGATTACCAGAACATAGTCGATTAGCTTAATCGATTATGACTATGTATATAATCGATTAAGTTTTCAGCCTGCTCGAAATTCTCTACACGCGCCGTTATCCGCCCAATTCAACAAATAACCCTAAATCTGCCTCCCCATCGTCACCACACCGCCGCCACAATACACTATTCAACCAATCCCTTACAAGAATAAAATAAATAAAGTAAATAATTCATACAAAGAAAACACAAATTCACATTTCAATGTCCAAAAAAAAAAAAAAAAAAAAAAAACAGAAACGATTCAGTCATCATCTTCTACGTCGTCGGTGGAAACCACCGCCGCGACTACAGATCCATCACCACCCTTCACGTGGCGGCGGGAGGCGGTGACAAACACTCTCCACCGCCACCATCACCATCGGTCGATGTCTTGCTTTTCTTCCGAATTTCAGTCGAGAAGAGAAGAGAGAAGACGAGAAGAGAGATGAGGAGAAAAGAAAAAGAGAGAACGGCAGAATAGAGAAGACGAGAAAAAAAAAAGAGAGAACGGCAATGGGTTAGGGGTAATAAGGATGGTTTGGGAATTATTAAATAATATTTGAGTAGGATATTAAGTAAGAGGATTTTCTCTAATTATTTTTGGGAGGGGATGTTTTCTTAACTCATTTTCCTAGACGAGGAGGTTCTTGCTAATTATCCCTTTTTTTTTTTTTTATTTAAATGTACCTACCATATTTATCAGTGCAACAAAATATTCAATGCAAATAGTAAAGAGGATAAAGTTTCATTTTCAAAAGATAATGCAAAACGTTACTTGCATTATTTCAACTACCACCAAATAGGGAAATTAAATCAAGTTGTTTGCCGATTTCACAATTTTTAATTACTAAAAAGCCCTTAACTATGCCAAATCGGATTAACTTAATTTCCAATCTCATTCGAAAAGCTGGCTTAGTCAAATCAAGAATTGTGCCTAACTTTCCGACTTATTCAAATTTGGTTTCTTTGGTAAATTTTACTGACAACGTTGTGTATATATATATATATAATTTATTTATATATATTTTTTATTATTATACATGAACAATAGTTTTGATTAAAATATTCAAAAAAGAAAACATTACTTCCAATATTACACTCTATGCTTTACGTTACGGCCCAATAAAGAAGCCCAATAAACGGCCTAATATTTTACTAAAGTATTGGGCCAACTAAAAATTTGAGTCCAATGTTTATGTTGAATTGACTTAAATATTTTATTTTATTTTTATAACTGAAATGTTAAATCCCACACGAAAATTACTCACGTACATAAAAAAAACTCTCTCTCTAAAATTCGCCAACGCAGTAAAAACAAGCCCCTACCCGTCTTCCTTAATCCTTATTCTACCACAAAATCACACACGGAATATTACAATTTGAAATTTGAGGAAAATCTTTAACTATTGTTAATTAAATATTTAGCTAATGTTATTATGGTTTCAAAACAATAATTAAAAATAGTTATTAAATATTGAATAAATGTTTTTAAATAATTGATTTATAAATTAATTAATAATTATTTAAAATAAATATATGAGTATTATTTCAAGGAAAAGGGAATAATTTTCAGAAAAAAACAAGTTAGAGAGAAGTGGGAGAAAAAATGGGCAGAGAGAGAAAATTTTTAATTTGTGTGCGGGATCTAGTAATTTTTAGTGTAGGATTTAGTATGCCCCTTTTTATAATCGAGAAAAATACAGTTTTCATCCCTTAAGTTTGCACACATTTCATATTCGGTCCTCCATGTTCACAAAAAACACATTGAGTCCATCATATCTCAATAATTCGACGCTTTTTTGTCTTTTTCGTCAATTTACTGTTAGTACATCAGTTAAGGCATTGAAAGGAACAAGCTTGATTCCGTTAGTACAAACAGAAAATTGACTGAAAGGGTTAAAAGTGTTGATTTTTTTAAATATAAGGGACCAAATATAAATTTAGTGCAAACTTGAGGGACGAAATTAAATTTATCCCATTTAAAATCATTAAAGATGAATGTCTGGTTCATAACAGAAGAAAAAAAAACATTTCTTCAGTTGAAATTGAAGTCCAATAAAACAGTAATAATGATTTTTCGGTCGTTAATAAATGTATTAGGCGGGATTTCCCATGCAAAAAAATTGGTAAATTATATCACTGCCAGAAAATTCGCTTCACAATCAGATCTCTCGCTCTCTAAAAAAATTGTTTTCTGATGAACACAATCCCTTTCTCTAATTCATTTCCGTAGATTGATTCGTACGCATACATTGATGGGTTGGCGTGTGAAAATAATATAGGTAAATGGGCTCCGACGAAAAATCAAATTCCGACAGTATTTCCGGCGATATAGCCATGTCGATCTCAGGCAAGTTTCGATATGGATTTTTAACGTTTAATTTTTGGTTAGGGATTTTTTTTTTCTGGAAAAGGGGAGGAAGCGAGTGTAGATTGATTGGTTCTTTTCCATTTTGATGATTGCAATTCAATTGGGAGTTCTTCGTATGCATATCAATCAGCATATGCTGAAAGGTGTTTGTAGTAATGCCTGAATGGAATTTATTTTATTGGGGGGATTAGATTTCACCACACTAGCAACAATCTGCATTAAATGATTATGTGTGTTCACTACATGATATGTTTATGTTGATGAAATTGTGGAAAGAAAATTGTTATTGCCCCCTGTTAATTATATATTTGCATAATCACCCATGTATCTTTACCGAAAAGAAGCAAGATACTATTGCTCGATGAAGTTTAAAAAGAATTTTTAAGCGTCAATGTATTGGCTTACGTATTCGAATTTAGAACGACGGGCTTTTCTGATTTTGGTGGGAGAGTCCGGTTTTTATGTTCCTTTGGTTGACTAGTTTCTGCTTTTGCAGGGCTTCATACAAAGCATCGACGAGAATTAGAAAACTTGACACTGAGCTCTCAGCCTTTCCAGACACTAAAGCTTTTCATTCTTGCTGTTAGAGAATATCTCGGAAAATCAGTTGTTTATCTATTGTCGCATCGCAATTGGTTTATTCCGTTGAGTTCTATTATTTTGATAACTTGTACACTACTTCTCACTGTTGATGGTCCTCATGAAAAGGTGACCAAAATACCCTCTCCAATTTGATGCATTTGCAAATCACTATACTCTATTTAATAATTCTTTAATCGGTAATTCAGCATGTTGAGGAAGTTATCCATTACGTTCGATTTGGACTGTGGTGGGTTGCTCTTGGTGTTGCATCTTCGATTGGACTTGGTAAGTAAAGACTCGAACGAGCAAATTTCCATTCTAATCCCTTAGTTCTTGATTATTACTCGAAATTCTTGGAAGTATGCTTTAATTCTGTTAATTCTTATGTATTAAATAGGATCTGGATTGCACACGTTTGTTCTATACCTTGGACCCCACATCGCCTTATTCACTATAAAAGCAATACAATGCGGCCGAACAGACATCAAAAGTGCTCCATACGATACAATACAGTTGAAAGCGGGTCCCACGTGGCTCGGAAAGGACTGTGCTGAGTTTGGTCCCCCGTTTTTTGAGTCATCGAACGGTGTAAAGATTCCCCTTAGCAGCATTTTGCCTCAGGTCCAGCTGGAGGCTATTCTGTGGGGTCTCGGTACTGCCCTCGGCGAACTTCCCCCCTACTTCATTTCAAGGGCAGGTATATATAAACTTAATTTATACTTTTCAATCGAAATTAGAGTAAAAAAATACGGTATTACATTTTCCATTAGTGATTCATGTTTAGGACTTGATATTTATTCGTTATGCAGCTCGTTTGTCGGGCAGTACGGTGAATGCAATGGAAGAATTGGATGGTTCCTCAGCAGAAAACGACGGGCGTATATCATCTCAACTAAATAAAACCAAGCTTTGGTTCCTTTCTCACGCGCAGTATTTGAACTTCTTCACAATTTTAGTTCTTGCTTCGGTTAGAAATTCAATTTTTGCAAGTGACTCGAAAATCCACCGTTCCATTCTTCTTTTATTATAACCCCGAGTTTATTGCATTTACTGGCCACGTGTATGTCAAATTGCTAAAAAAACTCCCCGGATATAAATATTTGCAAAAAAACCCTTATAATGCATATTTTTTGCACACAACCCCCTGAAAAGTGAGTTCTTTAGGGGGAGTTTGCTAAAAAAAGTTTTAATTATCTTCGATTGGAATATTTTGTAGGTACCTAATCCATTATTCGATCTTGCGGGAATAATGTGCGGACAATTCGGAATCCCTTTCTGGGAATTCTTTTTCGCCACTATTATAGGCAAAGCTATTATCAAAACTCATATACAGGTTTACAAACAAAACTCGATTTGTCACTTTTTTTTTTTTTTAATAATTATTATTACACTTGATCAAATATTGTTATCCAATTCTGCAGACGGTTTTTATCATATGCGTATGCAACAACCAACTTCTTTACTGGATCGAAAACGAGCTACTTTGGGTGCTTAGTTCTCTACCTGGTTTCAGTTCAATCATACCAAGCCTTATTACGAAGCTTCATTTGATGCAAGACAAGTACTTAGCCACTAAACCTAATAATATCCCTTCAAATGTCGAGGTACATTTTGCGGGTCCCGCTTCTCCTAATCCCGTTTAATTACTTTTCTATGCACTTTATATATAATATTGCATTTTTTTTATCAGGTGAAGAAATGGGATTTTTCGCTTGCTTTAGTTTGGAATACTGTGGTTTGGATCATGCTATTGAATTTTTTCGTTAAGATTGTGAACTCGACTGCGCAAAGGTATTTAAAGAAGCTGCAAGATAAGGAAATCGATGCCGTGAAGAACAAGTCGGACAACCCTACTGAGAATTCTTCTAGATGAATTTATATGTTCATTATTTTCCTGTTTTCATTTTAAATTTTATTTCTACTCTCTTTTTTTTTAATAATATTTTTTTATAATTATAATAGGATGAGGTTTTGCATTTGGAAGCCCACATGTCAAAACTTGTACATAAGGAATACAAAATTTAAGCTATTTGTTGCCATGAAAGAGCTTTGTGTAACTAATTTTTGGGCAATAAAAGAAACATTATTATGTATTTTATATTATATGTGAGTACTTAATTGAAAAAAAAAATCGCTGATTTCGATCCAAAAAAAAATTCAATTTTGGAAGAACTTTTTCATTCCAATTTTTTCGATTTTTTGGGTCTTTTTAGAATAGGATTGGAATTAGTTTTTCACTTTCGAATAAACCCTGTAATTTGGAATAAAATTATAATTAATAATAATTCTTGGAGAGAATATACTTTGTACTATTCATATTATTATCAGTTACGTAAGGGATGATTGGATTCGATTTACTTGGTGTCCAATTAATTATTATTATTTTAATAATTGGTGTCTAATTAATTAATAGTTGATTAATCCAAGGCAAACACACTACCCAATTTCTTTAAGCATTAAAAAAGTTGATTAATCAAAGATTCGTACTAATTGCTTATTCCTTCGATTATTATATTCTTGATTATGCTTTGTGATTAGTGCAACATAGTGCAGCGGAATTAGTGCTTTAAATTGCGATTAGCGATTATACTTTGTACACGTACGCAGTTCAAAATCTATATATTAATCCGTACAGTGATGAGATCTTTATAAATAATATAGATAGTGGGGTTTTCATATTTTAATAATTTCAGGGGTTTTAAGCAAACTACTCAATGTCTCGAAATTTGAGTTCGTGATCAAAGATTCAAGAGAAAAATAATTCGTAGTGGTTACCGACATAAAACGTATATTGTCGATTAGATTTTGGTCCAATCGAATTACTTTCAAAAGATGTTAAGACGCTTTAATGTAAATAAAGTAAAATTATCGAGTAAAATATACGGAAGTTCGACATGTAAACAAGTAGAACAATTAATTCCGTCATATGGAGGAAGGCATGCTAGTGTTAACGCCTGAAGTGTCATATATAAATGCAATGTGTACATTATCGTACTTAACTAAATGTATTCTATATGGTTTTTAACATTTTTAGTAAATTTGTTAGGTAGAATTAGCTCACCTCACCGACACGGCGTCTGCATCACTGAATGATGCAAAACTTTTAGCTTATACGTACTGACATCGACTATAAGTTATAACCACACAAAATTTGCTTCCAAAATTGTTTAATAACCGATATTGAGCAAATGAAGACGGATTTCATTAAATGTACAATTGAATAATTCTTCATAAAAGGAGAAAAAAAAAGTATAATTGACTAATTTGACTAAAGACTGCCATTCCTCACTCCAAACCTACCCAAACCGCACTCCGAACCTGGGCCAGCATTGTTTTCTTGTACCATGTGCTAGAAAATAAGGACCATACCTTTGCAGTGAATATGGGTCCATATATATTTGTTCATTTCTGTTGGTAATTGTATGGCAAAGTTTCACAATAAAGAGACTTTGTGAAAAGTCTATTATACCCCTTATCAAATTATTTACTGACAGCAAAACACCCTCAAATATGAAATCCACAATAAATTTTTTTCCTGATTTCCAGGTTGTTTATTTCTATGATGTGACTTCTTCTGTCTGATTTTCTTGCAACATTGTGGGTCCCACTGTGTATTATTGCTTTCTCCTAATTCAATAAATTTTAATGATTGCGTTATTATAGTATACACAAGTTATTTCCCCTTTAGGTTAATATCTAAAATAGCTAATTAGATTTTTTACAAAGTTTGTTAGAACTGTAAATTATGGATGTATGGTTAAATTACGAAAAAAATCATATTGTTTGGATAATTATTACCATCCCATCAGCTATGAATCTTCTTTCACGTCTACCTTAATGGTGTCAAATTCAAAAGAATCTTCTAAATTCTGCGGAAAAATACATTTTCTGATGCACTACAATTTGATATTTACAAGCCAAGAGAAACATCTTATGATCGTCTTGTTTCAAAATATGGAGTTCGGACGAGATAAGACGAGTGCAAACTAAATAATATTCCATATAATTTAAAAGATTCCATTAAATTTGACGCCTAAGTAGAGACGTGTAACAAGATTCATAATTGAGAGAATAACTGTAATTACTCAAACATGAAGAATTTTTTTCATAATTTAACATCAGATCAGGAGGGTGGCCGTAATTTATATTAGAAATGTTGGTAAGTGTGTGTGTGAAGAAATAGTTCTATCATCATTAATTTTATTAAATCTTGATCAAACTCCGAGGCAATGAGGCATTTGTCAAAGATCAAAAAGAAAAAAAAAACTTTAAATTAGGTGCAGATATCAAATGTGAAGATAAAAGAAGGATGCAAATGAAATAAATGTCGAATAGACATAGACCACGTGTAGTAATATGCAGACAGTAAACACAGGCGCGTGGTCACCAAATTAATTGGACCACAAACAAATTATTATTTTGTTTGTGGCCCCAAGTAAACAAAAACCAACCAAAATGGTCCACTTCCCCATTTCACAACTGCCAGCATCACTCTCTCTCTCCCTCACAATACCAACAAGCAACAGCTCTCTCTCTCTCTCTCACAATACCAACAAGCAACAGCTCTCTCTCTCTCTCTCTCTCTCTCTCTCTCTCTCTCTCTCTCTCTCTCTCTCTCTCTCTCTCTCTCTCTCTCTCTCTCTCTCTCTATCTCTCTCTCTCTCTCTCACACACACACACACACACACACACACACACACACAAAAGAAACATCAATATTTAGAGTTTGTAATATTAGAAAAAGTATTCCTCCTCTCCCATATTCCAACCAGATCCATACAAACACAACTACATTGTGGTCCATCATTCCATATCACTAAAAACAACATATACAACAAC